GACAAGGACCCTCAACAATTGGGTTCGTAATTTGTAAGGTCGGCACATTAGGGGACAAATGTATAAGCGAAGGAAATTGTTCTCCCCCGGAGACGTGTTGCAGCCACAGTTTCCCCGTGAGACATTCCCTTTGAATTTTGTCACACCGCATCGTGTGCACCAGCTCGAAATTGTGTTCTATGCGTACAGCTGATGCACACAACCGGCCTTGTCCCCGCGCGTCACGTCCACTCAAAATGTCCCCTTAGTTTGTGCCGACCTCAATAATTATACCCGATATAGTTTGTTTAGATTTTCCTTTGTTCTCCTCTTCCCTTCTTTCATAGAGCCTGTTTTGGTCAGGAACGTACAAAGCTGTGCATTCCTATTCAGAATTTGACGTGCGCTTCACAACCTTAGAAGACACCATGGCTGGGTAAGGAAAGAGTTAACACCACTGAAATTCTTAAATGCTTTCGCATTGATATAAGTGATGGCTTCAGATAGCGTATTTAAATTAAAATTTCCATTGTATTTTCTTTTTCCTTGTATATGCTTATTTCTGATTGAAGCTTTTTTCATGAGCACGCTGACTGAGGCAGAGATAGACCAGAAAAGATGGGGTAGTGCATGGGGATGGGGGGTGGGGGATGGTTATTGGAATTTGAGAAAGAAGTGAGAAATTGATGTCCGATCGTTGTTTGTTTCTGGTTTTGTGTTGTTGTTTTCTAGATGGATCGTAAATGAATTGACCTTTTGTGGAAATGGAAACTTGTCTCGGAATACAACTGATGGCATTGACTACAATTCCTGTCCAAATTGGAGCAAGAAATGCGATTATACGACGCCTTTTTGGGGTCAAGCTTCTAGCATAGTAAGTTAAATAAAATATGTACATAGGAAGTAGAATGTAAAAGTAAAAGCTTCACCCAAGATCTCTCTTAATTTTTTTTTTTTCGACTGAAATTTCAATAAGCGATACTTACTTGCTTCAGTCATATGGTCATAAACAGGTGTAATGTCAGTGGTATGACTGGAAACCGAGATTCAGTGAACCAATCAGAAAGCTAAAAATGCCTTTAACGAAGTTAATAATTAAATAATTAACCTTAATCAACTTCAGTTCAGTAAATAGCTACATGTAAAAGTAGCAAACGTGGGAAAGAGGGAACGATTTAACGATGAAACGAAAGAAAGAATGATCAATGAACTTATGAACAAGCTAATGAACGAGCAGGTTGTAAAAATATTCCTAATCACTGCCGGATCTAATTTTGAATGTATAATTTTGTTTCAAAGTTTGCAGAGCATGCCCGAGGGATCGCACGAGTCATGGTGAATGGTTCCAGAGTTTCTCGAGAGGGAAATCATATTCCAGCTTATAAGAGAGACAGGTAAGAACGATGCATTTTAGGGACCTTTAGATACGGTTGAGTTCGACAACAATTTTTGAATTTCAAACCAGAGACGTTTCCAGGGCCCTCGCTCTTCATGTTGGTTTTAATTAGAGAGGGTCGCTCATGGGATGTGATGGGTATGT